AGCACTCTCAGATGAAGCAATACACTTTAAGACAAAAAACATTAAAAAATGTCAATCCCAACCATCTACTTTCAAATTTGGTTATATTTTGAGAGTTTACAGTTTCGGAATGTTCGTGGAACTATCCTTCGTGCTCTGATATCAATAACCCAACTTTGAATTTTTGTGTAGTAAGATATTTTTTTTACCGCGGGTGCCCACATAAATAAACATAAATAGTGGATTTGCGATATATCGATTGATCTGTCATTTAAATCTATGGAGAAGGATCGATGAACGGGGTGTTCGGACACCTCAACTATCGATTCTTTACCGTAGCTTCAAATGAGGAAATATCGATAATCGATCATTCACGCCTCGCCACTGAAACCGAATGAAAAATGAAATGGAGTAAAAATATGTGATGGTGAGTGAAATGTAAAATTATTCCGGCGGCCGAGATATTTATGATATAAAAAGGGCGATACCCCGGATAGTAAACAAAGTTAAGTGGTGCCAAATTGACTGACATTGACATTCTCCCGTGACGAGTGCCCGTGCCAAATATTTAGCCTCGGGCCAAAGACACGCGTCAGGTTGACTCGGGAGCCAAGCTGACGCTATGTTATTGAGCTAAACTCCATGGGATTCCACTTTTTAAGCGGAGAGATTGAAGCGATGAAACCAAATAGATTGTCAGAGGTGCGAATTACAATATTTGAAACTTTTAAATTAGTAAAAAAAAAAACGAGATAAACCCCTCGGACCTATCCCATTGACGTACGGAAAACCAAAGGATTGACGTTGTAATGGGATACTTCCCAGAGATTATCCAGAACGATTTGCTATTACAATTGTCACGACTCCGCATTTGTGATGCACTGTATGCAATGTACTGGTATTTGACTTAGTTTTTGCATGAACTTACTCATTTTTGCGGAAGAACGCTCATTTATGAACATTCTTGGCCATCTTGGTTTGAATTGGACGTATTTCTGCCAAACAGACCTATGTGCTTTACGACGTGAGCCCTGTAATGCATGTATTCTTATGGGTCTCAGGGCTCATGTCTTAATGTACATAGTTCCGTTTGGTAGAAATGCGTCCAATTGTAATTTGGAGATTGGCGGTGAAATTTTGTGTGCTAGAAGGCCGGCTACCCCTTTGGGCCCTAAGCCTTTCATAAAGCGAGCTGTCCATACTCTTGCTATACAGGTACTCTACCTTCAGCCTTATACTGATACTCATTAGAGCTCAACATTTTTGACTCTAATTAAAATGTTTGAACTTTCTGGCCTAGCTTTCCTTGCAAAATAGTGTGGACCCAGCACTATTTAACTTATCATATCCTTCAAGGGCTCATAATTTTAGTAATCTACAAATTCTGTACCTCGGTCAAATATATCTAACACCTAGTTGACGTTCTGCATGCTACGTGTGTTTCTCCTCCAAACCCCGGTGATCATCAAGAAATAAACATAAAAAAAATAAATACCTCACTCTTAATTGGACCGCGTTTCACAGAAATGAACTAAGCAACATCAGCTATTGTCAAATAATTCTTTGATTTTTTAGATGAAAACGGTTGTGCAGATTTTAGTGCAAATTCCGGTGAATTTTCTGCATAGTGCGAAGCAAATTCCTAAAAGTTTTGAATGGAATCCGCACAAACCTTCTCTTGTAAAACATTAGATTGCCCAGTTTTTGGCAATACCTGATGTGGCTTGGTTCCTTTCTGCTAAACGCGGATCAATTTTAATCGGGAAAACGGCGCCGTGCCTCTCCAATGAAGAAAACATGCACTTCTGCGGTGTCGTGATAACATGCACACGTACACATACATTTCAGCAATGGAATCTTTACGAGATGCGCTCGGCCTGTCTTGCGACGGATAAGAAAAAGCTCTTTCATCTAGTCTGGTGGAATCGCAAAATTCTGGGGGTAATTAAAAGTTTTACGACTGCGAACTCTGAGGTGTTAAGCCGTTAATCCGGTGGGCCTCCAGGTGGTCCACCTTTACGGCCACGCGGAGAGTAAACAGACGTTAACGTTAGATACGTTACGTTTCCGTCCGTTTCGCGCCGTTCCGTTGATTTCCTGATTCGCGCCTGTTCTCAGGACTTTTACAACCAAAACGTGATCCCCCTCCCCTCCACTCCGGCTAGGGCGAGATAGGCGAAAATGGTTTTGTTTACTTTCTCCGGTGCTCAAAAATAAACGGCTGCTAATTATAATTTATTGCCTCGCTGGCCGATTTTCGAGAGCTCGCGAATGACTGGTCAGAAATTGGTGAGAATCGTTGCCAAACTTTGATCGAATATTTGATCAAATTTTACAATTATTCGGTGAAATTGGGCAACGCGAGGATCAGTTAGGCTGCCTCTGCCTATAAATGCTATACAGGGTAATCTAGGGTTAAACGATCAAACTTCAGAAGCCGAAACACCCCCAAACTCCCACTTTAAATTGAGATTTCGATTTTTTAAGATAATTTATGATTACAGGGCATAAACGTACAGGAAAGTACAAATTTTCATGAAATCGGGTTCACAACCTTCGCCAAAATTCAGGAAAAACTATTTACTTTCCGATATTTTTTTCTCTTGGGGGGGGGGGGGACGCTCCGACTGCGGGCATTTTTGGAAAAAAAAACTTTTTACAGCAGAAAAGTCTTATTTTGACCCACAGAACGCGCTCTTGCAGTCTGGCCATTTAACTCTGGATCACCCTGTATACAATTTCAAGAGATGCATGCACGCACAGTATGTAACGTAACCATGCGTGCGTAATTGATTGCTTTTAAAAGCAATTCGGAAGAAATCATGTGATGCGACTACGTGATTGATAATGTCAATCAATGTGATTTGTCTCAGAATTATGCGTATCTGAATCATTCCGATGTCTCCGAAAACATTGACCAAACATGGAATTGCCTTCATGGGAAAATTAGTATCGTTTGTCAGCCTAAAAACTCCAACCGTCTGAATATCATTCCATGCCCGATGCGACTGATCGATTCGTCGCTCCTCTGGCGTAAGGGCGTATCTTGATTTCCACATAACCCCATGTCTGTATTGATTTATATGTAAAACAGGGTTCACGTGGAAATTGAGGTAAGCCCTAACGTCATGTCAGAGGGGTGGAGCGTTGTGACCAGTAAATATCGTGGAGAACAGTTTTTTGGGACAGGTTATCGAGCTAATTCACTTTGTTCAAATGGATACGTCAATATTTTATCCACCGCACGTAACGGGAAAGCCGAACGAATTAAATATACATATACACACTTTTGGATCGTCAATCACTGAAAAAAAAATCTCAGTGTATTTACTAAGAAAAGGGTAAAATTACCAAGAATCCAGGGTTCTACTTGATCCCAGTTTTTTCTTGGTAAAATTACCATTTATGGAATTACCCAGAAATCTCGGTAAAATTATTGAACTTTCTCGGTAATTATACTGGACTTTGGTAAAAACGCCAATATTTTTTATCGACTGTGGTAGAATTACCGAGTTAAAATGACAAAATTACCGGGAACTGATTACCAATAAAAGTGGTATTCTTACCTGAAAAAAAAAACAGTAAAAATACCGGTTTTTAGGTGAGCTTACCAGTCTGTCTTGGTAAAATTACCAATAATTGGTAAAAAAAGTGAGATGGTAAAGGTACCAACGGACCTTGGTAAAAACGCCGAGAATTTTTTTTCAGTGATCAATCTGAGGATTTCATGAAGTCTGTTGGGTTATCAATTCACCAAATTCCGGAATCAGTGAGTGATATGGCATCGCTGGAAAGTGAATTGATGCTGGAACAAACACCGCGTCCAATAACAGCTTTGTTTTGCTTCGTTGACCATTGCTCCTTCTGAATGGTGACCGATCCTGCTCATTGCTGATCGAGTTGAACATCTAAAATCACATTGGACGGATACGAGAAAATTCCTCAGAAGCACTTTTTTTACGGGCAATCGGTTGGAATGGGGCAAAAACTTTTTACGGCTGGAAATGCGATAATTTTACGCTACGAAAGGCTCAATATCAGAAGCAGATTCAGCAATTTGGATTGCATTTTGCAAAAAGGAACCACGAGCAATCGAGCATTGTAATGTTGCTAAGATTGTGCAACCTCTTTTAATTGGAAGAAAAACCTGATTATCCATTAACAGTTTCTATTTTACTAGTTAAAAACTGTAAATTTAAGACAAAAATTAACAAGTCAATTTCTTATTTTTTCATGTTTTCAGTAATTTTATTGCAAATGATGAAGTTGCACAATCTTAGCATCTTTGTAATGCTTCTGGTTCCTTTTTGTAAAATGCAATCTATTTGGCAACACCCGATTTCCTCCATTTAAACATATATAAAATGATCGATTCCGGTCGCAGCACCAGGCTACTTAAAAAATCGATACCTTTCCATGGATTTAAATGGAGAGAAAAGGATGTTGCTAATTGCTGGATCCACCGATGCTCAATCATTTAAATCGTTTTTCGTCAGGGATCTTAATGGAGGAAATACGACCAAACGAACAAAAATGTTGCTTTAAAAGATCGCAATTTGATGATTTTCATCGAGGAACGGCAATACTTTGCCCCAAAATATCAATATATAGATGTGCACCCTTGAGGGAGCCCGAGAGACCTCTAAACAATTTTTTTTTTTTTTTTTTTCTTTTTTTTTTTCAAAATGGTCTTGATTTGGCCACATTGTATAATATTTTGAGCAAAGGAGACTTGAACTTTTCTCAACTTTCAAAGATAAGAGCCACCCTAACTGGACGTGGATACATTTCCAAACCAATCAACAGACTGTTTTCCAATTGATCCTCGTGGACCAGACAAAACGGTTGGCACTATCAATAAACTGACAAAATCATACTCATTGCATGAAAATGACTTTTATTTGCTACTATCCTAAACTTTTAAATCAAGTGACTCCTCTTTTGGAGATGCATGAAAAATGCCCTATAGAAGATTTGTCTTTCAATGAATTAATGATGTGGATTTTTTTTTTCTGTTTCAGAGAAAACTTTGCTCAGCCGCAAAAAAGGCACTGTCGAAAATCCCCACTAAACACATAAAGAACGATGACAAGGTAAGAATTTTAAACTGATGCAATCTTTTACAATCAGTATTGTCAGAAAAAAAGAAGAAAATAATAAACTTAAGCAGAACTACGCAGAAAGAAATTCTCTTATTAATTTACCTTTCATTCATTTACCTTATCATGTAATTTCTTATCAATGGCTAAATTAATTCTGCGGACACGTATATCCATGGCGTTTTGAAATGTTCATGCTTACCTTACTTTTTCAAAGAAAAACTAAGAAATAAAACGACTTGAAATTTTATGGAATAATTGTAACGCACACTGAAAAAAAAACTGCCAAAATCAACACATGAAATAGTGAAAAAAGGTGACAACTCATCAAAATAGATTAAGAACACCGGGTTGATTTTACTAATTTGGTGATTTGTCACCGTATTTTAGCAATTTTTTTTTTCAGTGAGGGTGAAGAAAATTTCATGGAAAAATAATGAGTTGTTTTATTTTCAAAAAATAAAATACAAAGGGGTTTGTAACCTGCGCACTTAAGGTACGTGTTTGCAGCATGTTTACCCCTGTTAATCAGTCATGACCGTTATTTTTGTGGTTAATATCATAATTAGGGGAGGATAAGTTATTTTACCCCACTTGACCGAATATTTTGTCGGATCGGGTAACTTAATATATTTTTTGAATCAAGTCAGAATGGATTGATACAATTATAAAGCATATACATAGACGATTAAAGATCGAAACTGCAACTATTAATGCCAATGCAATGCAAGAATGTAACTGATTGTGGAGTTGAGTTGACGAAGTGCTCGCTCTCAACCATCAGCAATAAGATTGCCCGCTTAAATCGCCTGCAAAAACACCGAACGCAACCGGCGAAGGCTTGAAATGGAAATTGCATTCAAACTATTTGAAGGCACTCAGCATATGAATCGTCTTTTTATTTTTCCTCTTTGACATCGAAATATTCATTCATAGCAACTCACCAGATAGTTCTTTCCAAGTCACTAGCAGGTCACTAGAGAACTCGACACTCATTTTAAAATTGTTGAAAAAGTTTCTTTTAATTTTTTAACCACTAGATATAGAAAAAAGTAATTGATTTGAGAGAAGCTCTATCGCAGTGTTGATATACTTTATAAAGTGTTAACTTCATTAATTTTCTCATGTAAATATAGGTCACTATATTATTTAATTATGTATTAGGCCTCTTGGCTCAAAATATGGTCTAACTTCTTAATTTCACACGAACTATTGCACGCAATTTTGTTTAAAGCTCGAGAAAAAATTTAGTCTCGCTCGGAGATGAAGATTATTTTGCTTGTATTTTTCAGGATTCTAATGGAGAGATGGAGTGTTGCGCTGTTTGTATAGAATCTTACAAATATTCAGATGTAGTAAGGATTCTCCCATGCAGGTGGGTTTTTTGCTCAATTTGAAGCATATTTTAACACTAATTAATGTGCGCCTCACGCTCTAATTAATATTCATGCATTCGAGGAAATTTACAGCGCTAATTAAGGTGATGATGTGCTACTTAAACTTGCGTGCCATGTGTGATGTAAAAAAAGAGAGAAAACATTTGCAGTTAAATTTTTTGCGGAGTCCTAAAAATGGAATCGTCTCATTACAAAGTATTCTTTTCTGTTGATTACAAAAGAAAGATATCCATGGAAAAGGATGTCGGTCAAAATCATTTGGTCCTATTTAGAAGTTGGCGTTAGAAGTTATTTATTTTGAGACCGGATAAAATTTAGTTTTAGCAGAGGGGACTTTCTATCTCGACTATAGTACTATATTGTGTTTAAATGACTTTTTTTAATCCCCATTAAAACAGAAGAATATCAGTCGATACCGAGTAGTTTTGATTAATTTGATTAGGAGTCGGGACTGATGGAATGGAACTTTGTAGTAACCTTTCTCCAGATTTTGAGAAAGACAATCTAATGAATTTTAGTGATAATTCGAAGAGTTTAACAAACTCAAAATTAAAAACAAAAATTAAATAAAGAAAGTATTTTCAAAAATCACTGCAAAACTTTTCAGAAAAATCAGACACACATATTCATTGGGAGAGACTCATAATCGTGGACAGGGTGGTTGGAGATTGTCACGAAGACTAATACCTAAATGTCATGTTGTGTAGGGATTACATGTTATTCGAAAATTGCAATTTTATTATACAAATTGGTGAAAAATAAAAATGATTCACTTTTAAATTTTTCAAACTAATGTCATCAATGTTTCAGGCACGAATTCCATCGTAATTGCATTGACCCATGGCTTTTAGAGCATCGAACTTGCCCAATGTGCAAGATGGACATTCTAAAACATTACGGATTTGTGGTAAGTTGCTGATTTTTTACTCGAGTGAGAAGTAACTGCTGCTTATAAGCAATTTTTTTTTTAATTTTTCCGAAGTTGGTGTATTTGCACATTTTCCACGTACTTGCGGTACCATTTACCGCTTGAAACTGCCCTCAATCACAAAACTCAAAATTGAACGTATTATAATTCAAAAGAAATGTATCCACTGTGAAATGACCCCTGTCATGTATGCATTTCAATGGCTCTCAGGGTCTATGTCAACATAAGGATAGTTCCCTTGGATTTATATACGTTAAATTGAAGAATATTTCGGCACCAACAAAATCTTCAAAAATTTCAAACCAATCCAAAATTAATTGATTTGAAGATTTGAAGTTTGCAATTCAAAATATGTAGTTTTGGAAAACAAAACATAATGGAATCATAGTCTGTATTGTTTGGATTCAAAATTGTGGGATTGAAATTCAAATTAACGCTATCTATGAGTATCTTTTTTGAAAATTTGGACCCTGTAAAATGTTTTAGTCGGCGTGAAGTTACCACTTGGCAAACAGAGGTTGACGGTAATAGTCAATTTTCATACGTCAATGCGCCTTCAATTACATTGGATACTGTGCAATACTTACGTGGTGGAATAGTTGCATTGGCACCTACAAACCCAACAGGGATACTTCACTCATTGCGCAATGCATGCAGTATCCCTGTTAGGTTTGTAGGCGCCAATGCAACTATTCCACCACGAAAGTATTGCACGGTATCAAATGTAATTGAAGGCGCACTAACGTATGAAACTTGACTGTTACCGTCATGGTGTCAGGGGGTATTTTTTAACGAGGAACTTGAATCTCAACTCAAATCTTTAAAATTCTAAAATCCAAAATGGCAGAAATTGCCAAAAATGTTATCTTGAGACTTTCGAAATCTAAGACGGTTGACTGCCTGACCCAATTGAATGCTCTTTGTCACATATTTGGACGTATTAATTTACTATTCATAAGTATTTTAAAAGAAATTAGAGACTGGTGGGGAAGAAGGAGTCTGCTCGTTAGTTAAAGGCCGTAAGAATGAACGCCAGTGACGTCAGCGGTGATGACTCAGATGTGCAACGACGAGGAGATCGGTGCTGGTGCACTTCAGCTCATGAACCTTGTCCACGACGCTCTCGTGACATACCCACGGCAAATCCCAAATTGTTATTTATTTTAAGAGGAATCACGTCGCGCCTACTGTTAAATTCTTTCTTAAATAGTTTTCTAGAGCACATCCCATTTTTCCCGCACGTCTCAAGTTTTTTTTTCTTAAAGCAAATATACGTCCATTTGATCAATTCATCTTTGTTTTCAAAATTTTAAGCAATGAGAAAACATCTAATTATCAAAATTGATCGATATTTAAAAAAACACAGATTGTTTGAACGTTGGCCGATAAAAATACGATGTGAAAAAGTGGCCAGGTCGCATTTAAGAATAATTGATTTTTCAATCGATTTTTACCGTCCGAAAACCAATACACTGAAAATCTGCATTGAAAACATGCAAACCTTATTTGGGCTGACCATCAGCCTAAGCATTCAATGAAATTTCTGATTCAACGATTGGCTTGTGACACTCACAACCAAGGTAAGTGTGCTCTTCACGACCTCTTTGGCCGAGACGCAGTTTTTCGTTCCTGCCACCAGATTCGTGGCGCGAACTTTGAATTTCAACAACTTCGCACTCTTGGCAGAAAATCAATATGATCGTCTGCCATTGATGTGAATGAACAAAGAGCGGTTTCACTTAAAGGTCAAAAATGGTAATTCTTCACAAATTTTCTTGTATTGTTAGTTTTCATCAACAGCAGACGGTCATATTTTTTTTTCGGCTGAGACTGCAAAGTTGTTAAAATTGAAGGGCCTCGAGGACAAGGCGGAAGGCGCATAAGTGCAGTTTTTGTAATTTCGAGAAAGACGTGTTTGAAGTTTCGGAACTTCATGGATCCTCATGGCGGAGAGAAAGTTGAAATTGACATTTCGATGCTTAAAAATTGGAATTTGGGGGCGAATTTTTCACAGAACTTGCATTCAGACTAGTTTCACTTGAAATCATTAATATCTGCTACTCCTCTAAGCCCCTCAATTCAAATCTCATGCCGCGGCTTTTGTGACGAGAAAAAAAAGCTTCGTTTCGAGTGGTCGGGCGGATCATATGCCTTACGTTTCTTTTACCTTGACTTACAACTACTTCCGTTCAATAAATGATGAGGCCTCTCGAGCTATTTTTGTTCATGAAATCTGATAACGTTCGTTCTTCGGCTCCTGAGTTGCCAGTTGGGCATTTTGGATTTTTGATTTTTAAAGATTTGAGTTGAGATTTAAATTCCTTGTTAAAAAATACCCCCTGACACCATGACGGTAACAGTCAAGTTTCATACGTTAGTGCGCCTTCAATTACATTTGATACCGTGCAATACTTTCGTGGTGGAATAGTTGCATTGGCGCCTACAAACCTAACAGGGATACTGCATGCATTGCGCAATGAGTGAAGTATCCCTGTTGGGTTTGTAGGTGCCAATGCAACTATTCCACCACGTAAGTATTGCACAGTATCCAATGTAATTGAAGGCGCATTGACGTATGAAAATTGACTATTACCGTCAACCTCTGTTTGCCAAGTGGTAACTTCACGCCGACTAAAACATTTTACAGGGTCCAAATTTTCAAAAAAGATACTCATGATATAATCACCGTGTTTTAGCGCATTTTTTCAATGGCTCCTGAGTTTTTTTTTTTTTTTTTTTAGGCCTAGAGAGATGATATAGAAATAAGTTGAAATTCACGATTTTGCTCAGAAAAATGGCAACGTCGCAGCGTGGCAAAATTATCAGAGGGGGAGCATTGGGAGACTCTAAGCTACTAATTTCACACTCTGATTACAATTTAGGCATCTGTAAAGTTAATTTATCGAGAAGGAAAAATCATCAAAAACAGTCAAAAATTCGCTATTTTCATGCGTGAAAATGGCAACCACGCGTTGGGTCAGAAGCGTAGAGGGGGGACCAAAACTTCACTAGGGTGTAGTTTATGAACTAATTTTGCCCTATGTTTAATTTGCAGACCCCTCCGACTTTATTTTTTGGGAGCGAAAAATTACTGAAAAACAGCAAAAATTCGCTATTTTTGCGGGGATAAATGGCAACTACGCGTCGGGTTAATTTTGTCCGATTGACCCCAAATTTCACGTTCCGTGTTTTTGAACATGCTGTAACCGATTTAGGGGGTTACAGCTATAAATTTCCGAAATTCATTTTTTGTGGGCCACCCTAATATACATGGTGGGCGAGAAAAGATTTCTCCCGCTGGTTGCTTGTTGATTTTCTCGATTAATATTTGGCCTTTTCCATGATTTCAGTTCACCGGTAGTCAAGAAAGCATTTTACACATGGACCTAGAAGAGAATGTGAATTCAGATTCGGAGCAGTACCGCAGAAATGTACAGCATACGATGCAAAATTTAAGTCCTTCTTCGCACCAAAGACCTGCCTCAATGCAAGTAAGTAACTTTTTGTGTTGGTCCTCTTAGCTATTCATTGTTTATTTTGCACCCAGGCGGAGAAGATAATTTTTGTTTTTGTTTTGTTGGTTCGGCAATCTACTCTGGATACTCAGCCTGAATTTTGACGGGACGATTGTCATTGGTTAGCGTTATGTGGGCGCAGCCCAATTGCAGCAACCCCGATATTGCATAAATAAATAAATGTGCACAAAACTCGTCATGTAAAATAATTCTCAAAAGTCTGAATTTGCTTTATGGTCTTGATAGGGTCACCTCTTAAAGTTCAAAAAAGTATCTCCAGAAAAGATGGACTCCTTTCATGATCCGTTGGTCCTCCATTATATGAAAGGAAAATCCACTTACATCAAGCAGAAACCCGCTGTCATCCAGCTAATTTATTATTGATTCAATATATAATCATCTTGACGGCATATTTAAGAACGTTTCTACCAATATCAAGTCACTTTTATCTCTGATGAAATTCAGAAATTATGCTAAACGTTATTAGATAGGATGTTAGGACTTAGTGATCTTGTGGACTACCATTCTCTTTGTGTGCCGTAGTATCTTAATTTATTTTGAGAGGAGAGCCCCGTGCTCCTCAAGGATGCCTGTCATGCTTAATATGTTGGAACGCCTCAAATTTCGTATGATACTGTGCAACATCTCTGTGGTGAAATAGTTGCTTGATGCGCCGTGGCACGCTGCGGTACGGCGCGGCGGGCAGCCGGCCAGCGCCTACAAACCTAAGGGGACACGCCAAGCATTGTGCAGTGCGTGAAGTATCCACTTAGGTTTGTAGGCCCTGTAGGCCCCAGTGCGCGTTTCGCGCAGGCAACACGCCGCTCCACTCCATGTTGGGCTCTAACAGTTAAACTGAGGGAGTCGGCGTTTTTCAATTCATGATTTTGAAACGTTTGCACTCTTTGCACGGGTTCCTCCCATTTAAATTGATGAAAAAAAAATATGTATTAAAGGAAAATGTTACGTGTGTTTTGTGAATAATAAGGCGGTTCCGTGTCAAATTTAATGATTTCCACAGCACTTTAATTTTTTCTTTTTATTTTGTGCTTTACTGTGCTGCAGCGTGATGTACGCGCAACCAAACGCTAACTATTGGACGTATTTGACTCTATACGATCTATGCATGAGTGGATTAAAACCAAAGATGTGCGCCTCTTGGTGTTTTTCCTCTCTTATTCATTTATGTATAGAATCTTTTAACACCACAACGGCTCATTTAGATTAATATCGATGTCATCGCTTGTAAAAGCTTTTCCACGTTTTTAAAATGTAAATATTTTTATAATGAAGTAATATTTTCAATTTTAAAGAAAAAATAGTATATAGAGGGTATATTTCATGTCGAAAGTTTTGAGGATAGAAATAAAACCAAATATTCATCAATGGCAGTCTTAAATGATGAATCAAAAGAAGAAAGCAACATTTCATTTAAAAAACGAGTCACCACAACAACACCTCCTTCTCTCTCGATTTTCTCATTCCGATCATAATTTTGACCAAGTCGCTGTTGCTAATTTTACGCATGGACACAAACCACTGGACAATTCAGATGCGCCGACAGAGAATCGTTAACGGAATGTCCTGAGCCCATCACGGGTGTAATTTTTTCAATGTATTCTTCGCATTTTTTTTTATTTCTTGTCTACAACAACCATCATGATCATTAGCAAGGGTGTAATTTTTTATCCTTGACACATAGACAAATTCTCTTTCTATATTTTTTATTCAAGATTTTTGTCACAGTCTTACCGCTTAATTATTCGAATGGTGGCATTGGACTCCCTAAAGTATTTCCCCTCCCGATTATAGTCATGCTTTATATTAGTAATTAAAACGCTCTGTGCTATACATGTTTTCTTATGATTTCACAGGCTAACCAAACTAGCCAACGGAATGTATCGCCAGACCCTTACCACCACCAGCGGTATCATTCGAACCAGTACAGCCGGGCCTCCACACCGGATGAACTGACACCCGCTTTACCTCTTCCTCTTTGCTCAAGTAAGTTACCTCCGTTGGATTTCGAACTCTTTTTTAAAGTGTCTACAATGGCCTATGTGAAAGTCTGATGGAGAGTCGTCGTGTGTGACTCGCCGTGGGGAAAGAGATCACAGAGCTGGACTACTCAAAATTAAGACTGCGGGGCTTTTCTTTTAATGTTCGGTAAAGGTACCGGTGGAAATCCATGGGCCGCCATTTTGACCACCAATGGCCTCCGATCAGTCGATAGTTTGAGAATGCTTCTCCTTCTTCCGATGGATACAATGGAGATTTTGCATGTGTATGAGGAATTTTTTGTTTGAACAGAGCGGACTTGCTACCGCAACAGTGTAGTAATATAAAATCAATTTTTAATTCGAAAAATTTCGCCTAATTTTCTCTAAGTATCAGAATAATATTCATCAAAAAGTTTCCCCGCAGTATTGGGTTCCTTCAAGAAAAAATGGACGTACTTATGCTAAAAGGAGCTGTGAACGTGTAAAACCTATGCACGAGCACGTAGTTCCTTCCAGCATAAATACGTCAAAATAAGGTAGGTAAGAATAGACATTCCCAACACCACAATCGAGATGCACATTTTTTACTTGACTCTCTGAAGGCGTTTTATGTGCGCAAGCATTTCGCCTTCAGCTGCGTCTGCGGCAATTGTTGTTAGGAATATGTTGTGCGTGCTGATTTCAGCCCATTACATACTTGACGATCTGAAGGCGTTTTAACTTTACTTCGTTCGCTCTCCAATAGAGTGCGCTACTTGGGCGCATAAAACGCCTTCAAAGAGTCGGATATGTAATGAGCCGAAATCAGCACGCACAGCATGTTCGTAACAACAATTGCTGCAGACGCAATTGACGGCGAACTGAAATCAACTGAATAATTCACTTTAAGAACATTTTAATGCTTAACACTGCGCGATCTTATCGGTAGACACGGAATGTTGCAGTTTGCAGCGTTTCACCTACCAATATCAATAGAGTTCGCTGTATTGTAAAAGATAAGAGAGTTACGAGCCAATTTTGCAACCTATGGATAAAATTACGTTCTTCCGTCTAGGAGACGACGAATGGAGATGTTGCATGTGTAAGGAATTTGCGATTTGACTGTTGATTCTTGTGTAAAAGTTCCCGAGAAACACGATGGTGCCACTGGCTTTCTCTGAAATCAACTCCCAAGCTCAAAAAAAGCTCTCAAGTTGAGGCCAAAATGGAGGAGATATCTCATATATGCTATCCTGAGAGTCCACGTCTACATCAATACAAACTCTCCATGCGAATATAGGGTGCAAATACATTAGCAGGGTTGCCGTGTTTTCAGTTTTAGAGTCCCCAAATAAAGTGGCAGCCCTGTCAATGTATTTGCTCCCTATCTTTGCATGGAGAGTTTGACTTGATGTATAGGTGGACTCTCAGGGTTGCGTGGGATATCCCCTCCATGGGACTCGTAGGATATATTTTTGCCCACCATTCCAAGTGAGGTAAAACTGACTCATCACGATCTTTTGCATATATCTAACCGTTCCAGTAATTTGACTAAAAAGTGTATCTCTGATTTCAGACGTAGAGCTCGTCCATCAAAGCGTGATCGGTCGCAGCAACTTCCACCGGGTAGCCAGCGACAGCGACTTCTCCTGTCGAGACACGCCTGTCCCTCTAAGGCGCTCTATCTCCTTGGACACGATCGACATTGCCACCACTGCCAGCTCCAGCACAGCCACTTCCAGTCCGGCCAGCACCCGACCCGCCTCCTAGGATCAGCGACGTCTGCGCGACGTCCGAACAACGTCACATTTGACGTCAAGTCAAACCACGTCGCCATCGTCGTCCACGATGGACGTCATATTCGACGCTTTGTCGAGCTACATCGCGACTGCCGTCATATTCGACGTCAAGTCAACGGCATCGTCTTAAGACCGCTTGCAACGGGTCGTCCTTCTGACTGAGATGGAGACTTCTGGAGTTGATGACGTCTGCAAAACGTCGTGTTTCGCGTCACCGCTGACGTCATGTTCGTCATCGCAGCGTGATGGTTTAAACTAAATCGTCCTTCTACCTTTTATGGGAAGGAGGCTACGATTCGTGTGAAACCCAATTTTCTTTCATTTTATTGATGTTAAAAGCTACGAGTCGGTTTGTCTTTCATATTGTAGCATGTTGGCACGCGTCATTTTAAAATGGCAATGTGTTTGGAACCTACGGCGAGAGAAAAATGACACATGAGTTCGGTTATTATAGGAAGTAACCTGAACCCTCGGTTAATTCTGGGTTTTCGCGATTTTTTAATTGCGCTCTGCAGAGGTGGATCCAGCAATTTGGCAACAACGGATTTCCTCCATTTAAACTTATGCTAAAAAATCGATTCCTGTTGGAGCATCTGGCCCCTCCAAGAATCGATACATTTTCATAGGTTTAAGTGGAGAAAAGACAATTTTGCCAATTTTTCTGGATTCGCCAATGGTGCTCTGTGTGCTGGATTAAACGCGGACTGAACTAGCGTCAACACTTCGGTTGGTTAGTGTTTCACTTCCTATCGTAACAGCAAGGAACCCAAGGACACAAATGTTTTTCTGAGTTTAAGTTCATTTTAAATGAGGAAATCATCGATCAAATTATGGATATAAAAGTACGAAAGTTGTGATAGAGTGCCTTTCATTTGTAATTTTTTACCCATCACGAGTCTTGCTCATCTTGTTGTCGTTGGCGGATCCAGCAATTTGGCAACATCGGATTTCCTCCATTTAAGCCTATGGAAATGTATCGATCCTTGGGGGGGGGGGGCCAGGTGCTCCAACAAGAATCGATTATTTAGCATAGGTTTAAATGGAGGAAATCCGGTGTTGCTAAATTGGTGGCTCCGCCAATGCTTGTTGGAACGGGAGCACTTGTAAAATGTGCATCCAGTTTTCCGTTGTCCAAAAAATGAATAATGCATGAAAATTTGTAATATTTTCCAGAACTATATCATATGAGCTTGACAAAACTATAGCTGTGTTTTTACAGTACTTGCAGTAATCCTATTTCACTTGGTGAAACATTAAATAGTAATAGATTTTATTGTCCAAACATAAGGTGTCTCATGTTTTCTTTTTAAGCTTTCTCTGCTAAAACTACTATTATTTTCAAAATGTGTGTACTTTTGTTTTAAAAAAAGGAATGACAAGCATAAATCCAGCTTTTGAAAATGAACGATGGAAAATCTTACATATCATGCTAAATTGTCCAATTTTGATTGTGTCCAGGAAGTTGAGATATTCCGTCAAAAACTATCCATGCATGCCATAATACACACGAAAATTTTTCCCCTTAACCTCATTTAATGTTGCTCAGTTTTGCCTGATCTTAATCAGGCATTTAGCGATGATATTTGTATTAAACTTAGCGAGGATATTAAGTTCTAAAACTGAATTGTGATAAAAGAGACGATTTTATGTATTTTGAAATGTTGCTGTAGTATTCTGGCAACTTGCTTTATTTTTGTATTTCAAATAGATTACAAATATTTTGTGCTTTCAGTTGTATCACCCATAGGCCTACTGTAACTTTGTGTGTAATCCGGAGCAGACATTATTGTAGAGGCATTTCTCAGAAATTGGCAACACTGTTTTTTCCTACTTTGAATATATTAAAATGAATCTATTCTGGGCAAAACAGCCTGTGTTGATAAATTTCGATGGTTTTATACATATTTCAAGACTAAAGCCAGTGATACCAACGTACTAGAATTGCCATCGCATTCTTGATCGAAATTTGCCTCCTAAGAAACGATTGATCTGTGTAAAACGAAATTGGTTTAAAATTTCCTAAACATAGAAAACAGAAATCTATTCCATCACTATGCTACGCACATGCTTACATTTTTACCGTGTATATAATTATTGTAAATAGTGTATTCATTTTCAACGGACTGCCCGGACCGACTTGACTGAAATGTACCTGAATTTGGAACCTCGCTCTGATTTCGACTGTAGATGCACTCCTGTTAATCTTGTTCCATCGCAGCCACCGCAAAATTTCAACTTAAAAACCGAAAAGAAGAGTCACTTTAACATTTGTGGTTGATTTTTTTTCTTTTATTTTTTTCAGCGCTCACGATAAAATATTGCCCCGGAAGTGGCCCAAGCCTTGTTGAAATACTTAAGTTGCTCTCAATTTGCATACAGTTTTTATTTACTGCTTCATACATAAGTTTTAGTTGGTTCTAGGCATAAAAATCTAAAGTTGAATGGAAATTGAAGGCTTCTCTGCGATCAGCATCCACGCAAAGAAAAAAAAAGAAGCAACCAAACTGAGATTCCTCACACTTACTCTTTTTTTGAAAATCAGATAGAAACTCAGGGCATTGAGCATAAATGTCACCGCGCATTTTAAATGACCAATAATTTAAAGTAGTTTGAATAAATAGAATTGGATGGAAAAGGGAAGAATTCAGCAACGGTTTTTGCAAAATGGCAACAATGTTTTTGCTCCAATTAAATTCATTAAAAATATCGATTGGTGAGGAAGACTGCCTCATAAAGATTCGAAAGTTTATTTTAATTTAAAGGGCGAAAGTGCTGTCAACCTGCATGAATCGCATTTATGTAATTTGAAACGAAAGAAAATTATCTTTTGAAGAGGGTCGTTATTTGCTGTGAAAACTTAAAGTATGAGGTACATTGTATGGCCTGAGCAAAGAATCTCTTTTACCTGTTACTGCGTCCATTTTATGCGAGTTGATCCAACCATAATTTCACTTGAAGTCTCATGTAGCTGTCGGGTTTATTAGTATTTTTGAGTGGTAGGACTGAAGTTGAATTCAATAACTCTCTTGTTTCGTCGCTCCTCTTATGTAAGGACATAACTCAATTTCAACCTGAGCTCTGTTCTCCGTGGAACTATAGACGTTTCGTGGTTCATGTTGAAATTGTGATACGCCCTTACGTAAGAAGGGGCGACGCCGCGACGGTTTGACCACTTAAAGTTACCACCACGTGTCACCCTTTCCTGCCTCTCTTTATTTCTGGAGAGGTTTCCTCTCCGTCTGAAATTGTCCTAGTCATTATTTTAATTTTATTTGTATTTTTACGGTTACCCATTTTTTTGCTATTTGTACGTGTGAAAATTTCATTGTGAATTAATTCGTCTTCTTTGAGAATAAATTACATGAATACAAAAATTATCGCGTTTTACTCTACTCATTGTCCACTCGGTCCTCTATTATACGTCATGCGTTAATGAGGGGCTGTTCGCAAAATTTGCAGGAAAAACCATGATTATCAAAGTGGCAAAGCGAGCGAAGGAACTGGGGATCCATTTATCCTCACTCATGAGTCCACACTATTTTGCGGGGAAGGTGAGGCCAAAAAGTTCAAAATTTTCGCTTAGGGTCAAAAGTTTTTAGAGCTCGGTTTCTTTACACTACTGACATTTGTTTAACTTTTTGGCCTTGCTTTCCTCGCGAAATAGGTGGACCCAGCACTATTTTACTACCTTCTTAAAACCCTTAAACACCTTGTACGATTTTGACTGTATCATGTATATCTCTTGTATGTATCTATGGTTACGCACCAGGACTTGTCTTTCTGATCCTCTCTCACGTTCATACACGCTCTTCTGATCCCGATAGTTTTGTCCTTATTTCCTTCCCATTCCCCCCTTTTTCCCTACAGTTCATACACGCTCTTCTGATCCCGATAGTTTTGTCCTTATTTCCTTCCCATTCCCCCCTTTTTCCCTACACACCTGATTCTTGCCATTTATTATCTTCTATTTTCAAAATGTTGAAAGAAAATTGCATTATCAACCTGAAATGTTTTATTTTTTCGTTATGAGTCTGCAAAAATTTAAAAAGTAGGGGCTGACATTCGAAAAAAAATGGGAACCCCTAAAAGATGGGGTGAAAATTTTGTGGATTTAGGAAAGTAGTTTAATTTGACACGCCAGGCGTTTTGTCAAAATTTTAAGACCGTCTCTCCATTTGTTCAAAAGTTAAAGGGTGTTCACGACTAAGCTCACCATGTATACAATTTTAAAGATTGGAATTAAGGAAGGATGTACATTAATACGACATGTAAATTAATACGACTATGTAAATTAATACGACACGGAAAAAAACAGCAAGAGGTTTTCGGATGACATGGAAAATTCCAATTAATTGTGGTAGCGCCTCCGATAAATCAGGTTACTAATCCCAATTTTGCGGTACTACCACAGGTAATTAGGCATGCCCATATCATCCAACAAATTGGGTCATCAGCACAATTTATAGAGAATGACCCCTTACACGTTTTCCGTTGAGTAACGCATAACGTAAAGCTTGCGGCACACAGTGGATCGAGTCAATAGGAGAGGTCGAACAAAATTTGGAATGTTTAAAAGCTCATAACTCCGTATATACAAAACTTTGAGGTTTTAAAAGTGGATCTATTGATTTCCTCGTAAAATGTCATTCTTTTTCTACCTTAAAATTTAAAATGTGACAAATTAAACATCAAAATTTGCAGTTTTAGTCAAAAATTTCGTGTCCGACCTCTCTGATTCACTCAAGTCACTGTGAGGCTATATTATAACTCCGTTTATACAAAACTTTGAGGTTCTAAAAAGGGGCCATTGGTTTCCTCGTGAAATTTTCTTCTGTAAGCACGCCCTGAAATTTAAAATGTGAAAAAATAGACATTAAAATTTGCACCCCGTTTATCGACCCTTCTCGATCGGCTAAATGACAGATCAATCGATACATCGCAAACACGCCACGCCACTGTTGAACACTCTTTTTCCTAGAAAAATTCTAAGACACTACACTGGAAAAAAAACACATTGGATCTAAAGGCCAGACTCTTAAAAACATCAACAAGAAAAAGTACTCTTGATTCAATCAGAATCTAGCTTAAATCTGGAACCAAGCCTCTTAATTAAAGCGGATTTTGTTTTGATTCAAGCAAAAATCCGATTGAATCAAGAGAATTTTTCTTGTCAATGTTTTCAAGAGTCTGGACTCTAGATCCAGTGTGTTTTTTTTTTTTTTTTTTTTTTTTTTTTTTTTTTTTTTTTTCCAGTGTAACTTCTCTGTTTTCCGATAAAACGACAACGCATTGATGATCAACTGTGAGGACCACGCCCTATCCTTAAGTTCATATCGAAAGTGGAACTTCAGAAATGCGTATCTCAGCTTGAGGCGCTGCAGACTTCCGGTCATACTTTATTTTCTCCGTGGAAAACAACGGAATGTCATTTTTTTAAAATATCAGTGATTTTCCTTATCTTCATAAGGAATGTTCTATAAAAACTTAAAGCCGTGATATTGAGTCGGTTTCCTTAGGAAAAATAAAGTAAGAGCGGAGATTTCGAAACACTGTAACCGTGATGAGCATTTTTTGTAGTTTCGCCGTCGACACGTAAGAGGTTAAAAAAAGAATAGTAAAATGGTGTTCCAAGATTTTAATTGTTCGCTCCCGGAACGGGGCCACATGTTGGGGGCTCAGTTGGAGAGAAAATTTTCCCGGAAAAAGTGTTATTTTTTTATATAACCTTTCACTTGAGAGTTAGACTTGTTGGATTGAGGTGTAGAGACTGTTGTTTCGAAATTTTGTGATATTGGAAGGTTCCCTACTCCCAAAAGTGAGTTCCAATATTTATTTATTTATTTATTTATCTATCTAAAGAAATACGAAGTAAAGTCTCTCCCAGTATTCTTCAGGAATCATTCGGAATTTTCGTTGAAACATAGAATTAATGACTTCGTTTAACCAGAGATCTCTTTGAATTTGCTGCCTAAAAATAATTTTGC